GAGGCTTGTGTAGAGGAAAAGACAAAAAAAATGGGAAGAACACTATAAACAACTAGAGGAAAGGGCAAACAAATTGGAAGAAAACAATAAAGTCCTGGAAGAAAACAATAAAGTACTGAGAGAAAATCATGAAAAAACAATGAAACAAATAAAGGAAACAGTCCAAGACCTGAAAAGGGAAATAGAAAAAAATGAAGACACAAACAGGGAATGCTGGAAATAGAAAATCTGAGTAAATGATCGGGAACTTCATATGCAAGTATAACCAACAGAATGCAAGAGATGGAAGAGAGGATCTCTGGCGTTGAAGATACAGTAGAAGAAATAGATTCATCAGTCAAAGAAAACACTAAAGCCAACAAAGTCATGAATGTGTAGTGTTTATATAGGTAGCCATTTGTGAGAATTAGTGTTAAATATCAACTTAATAAAATCTGGAATTACCTGGCACTTGGGCCTCTGAGCAAGTCTGTGGGAATGCTGAGGAGTTGGGAAGACCCACTCACTATGGTTGGCATTATTCCCTGGGCAGGAGACCCTGGATTGTACACCAGTAGAGAAAGCAAGCTGAGTGCTAGCAGGCCTGTGTTCATTGCTCTCTTCTTCTGACTGGGTATGTGACCAGCTCCTGATGCTTTGACATCTCTGCTCTGATTATCCTGCAGTACATTTTCTTCATCGTTGTCTGATGGGGGGGACAGGTCGCTGTGGGTGGTACAACTCCTCTGCCAGTGGTCCTTGGTGCTATAAGCAAGCAGGTTGGACTAGTTATGAAGAGCAAGCTAGTTAGCAGTACTCTTCCATGGGCTCTGAATGAGTTCCTATGTCAAGGTTCTTTGCCATGAGTTTCCTGGATGATCGACTATTAGCTGTAAGGTGAAATGAACCATTTCTTCTCCAATTTGCTTTTGGTTATGGCATTTCATCACAGCAATAATACACCTGATTAAGGCAGTCATGAGGGGATTGTAATGGTTAATATTGTAAGGCAGGCTCTAGAATCACCTACATGACAAACCTCTTGGGAGGGAGTTTCTAGATTAGGTTCATTGAAATTGAGTTACAACACAACCATGGGCTTGGGTCCTTGTCTAAGTAAAGGAAAAGGGGAGCTAAACACTTTAGCTCTCTGTTTCTTGACTGCAGATGCAATGTGACCAGCTGCTTCATGCCCCTGCTGCTGTGCCTTCCCTACATGATGGACAGCTCAAACGAACTGAACTTCATTTTTCAAGTATTTTGTCACAACAATGAAAAAATATAAGGATAGGCCCCCTACCCCCCAATTCCAGTAGGCACTCCTTGGTAACTCAGGCCATGTTGGCCAGGGAGACGGGTAGGCTGACGGCCTCCAAGTCCAATCCTCCAATCTCACCTCTGGCTATGTAGCCGAGTCTGCATAGCCCCTCCTCACTCTGTCCCCATTCCCAGGGGAGTAACCAAGCAATCCTGGTGAATACCCTCTTCTTTGGTTACTCTGGCCCGTGCTTGAGGGGAATGAAGGTAAAATCCATTATCATAGTCCTGGGCCAGTGAAGTTCCTTCAGTACTTCCCTAGTAGAGCCCTGAGTGGACAGATATGGAGCCCTTCTGGATTCTTTGAGTTTATGAAACTCACTGGACTGAGCCCTAATTAGATTGGCATCATTTGATTCAGCAGCCAGTTGGGCAACCCAGCTCTAGCCAACTGGAAAATGCTGAGAGTCTTCCACCATGACCCCCCTCCTCCACTCTTTTGCCCAATAACCCTTGATTCCGATGCTTTAAGATTAAAATGAACAGTAGCACTCCAAAGATATGGCTGGCTAACTTCCTACCAGGGACGTGGAACAGTTTTACCTTCTAGGACACATTCATGCCCCAGCCCTATGCTCATGGGCTCTGTCCCCTCCTCTTTGAACTGGCTCTTCTATAGGCAGACTCTGCCTCCCCACTCAAACTTTTACTGTAGACTAGGAAGGAGAGAGAAAGTACAGCCAGCAGAAAGGAACGTAAGATGTGTCCTGGTATAGCCGGGGTGAGCGCGTCTAAGCTGTCTGTGCTCCACCAGGGGTCCGTGAAAGGTTGGAGCACTCACGATTATTTTAGTCCTTTTATATTCTTTTTATAGAGTATGCATTTGAAGTAAATAGTTCTTATAGCCTCTCTTATAACTCTTAAGCAGGAATGACTTAAAATTAATGATTTCTTGAAATGGGTTTGAAGTCAATGGGATATCATTTAATACTCCATTACCAACGCTGCATTCCATTCCTGCATCCACATCTGCACAGTGGAATCTGTCAGAAAGCAGATGGAATGGGAGAAAGTCAGAAAACCACATGCATGTCTTTTATTCACTTTTTCCTGTTTTTTTTTTCCCCTTCAACTTCTATTAGAAAAGATTTGAGGCCCCAAATTCAAGGTCATAAAGAAAAAGGAGATGGAAGACTCAAAATGGCCAAAGGATCTGGCATGTCTTCTCCATCTTGCAGGACAAGTGAGCAGAGCAAAGGTTCAGATCACCAACACAGAATGGGTCCTGCCAGTGTAACCCCAAGCAATCCACTAGGAAGTGCCGATTCCAAGAATGGATCCACCACCTGACACTGGCCATCCAATCACAGCTCCTGGGTGTTGTCAGATTGATTGCATGTATTCCTAAGAGGCAATTCTGGAACTCTGGAGAAGGTGCCCCGAGGGTCACATCAGGATAGAGAGCAGCTCTTGGATCATCCATGAAGCTCTCTGGATAGCAGCAGTCTGTTCTCATCTCTCCAGAGCTTTACTGATCTTTCCTCAGTCAATCTGTCCATCTGGTGATCACCCTCACATGGAGAGAAGATCCCTTTGGATCCTTGTAACTTGGGTGGAGCATTTTGTTGCCAAGTTCTTGAACCCATCAAAGACTTTGGTCCAGGCACACTGGAAGAGAAAAAAATCACTCGTTTAACGTCAGCAGAGTTCCCCAGTAGAGCTCTCTACTATGGGGACCAGCATCTCTGGATTTTCATATCTACACTCTGCAGCCCCAGACAAGCAGCTTAGCCAGGCTACTTTACCCCACTGTGATCTCTGTTATGGTTTGGGCAGGAAGTGTCCCCCAACAGCCTCATGTGTGTGATTATTGGTCCCAACTTTTAGAAAGGGGATTTTTAGCTTAAGTGGGTTTCTGGGGTTTACAAGCCTCACCCTGCTTCCTGTCCTCTTTCTGCTCCCTGGTCCATGGAGATGTGAGCAAGTGTGCAGTCTCAAGCTTCAGCGACCACAGATGAGTTTGTCTTGATGCTGTGCCTTCCTGGCCATGACAGACTATTCTCCTTAAATCAGAAGCCAAAGCAAACCCTTAACACTGCTTATCATCAAGTTATTTGGTTATAGTCATGAGAAAAGAAACTAGTACAAATCGCTTAGCGGAATCCACCCGGAAAGGAGGCTATGGCTAGCCTAAACTGGCATCAGGTAGCTACTCCCAGCCTCTCAGAGAGCCATCTATGGCTGATTAAGGCAAACCATTGTCAGAGCCAGGCACCACCAGCTTCTTTCTGCTCTGCTTCAGACTTAGAGTGGTGAGAGCATGAAGGGTCTAAAACCCAAGTTGAGCTCTCTGGGTACACCCTAAAAGGAGTCTGAACCTTTTGAGTTTGAGAGCTTTGCACTGCTTTGGCCTGTGGGACAAGTGCCTTTAACTAGAAGCTCTAAAAGCCCGTGGCTTCCTCCACTCCAGACCGGTAATGGAAGAGCAAAGTGCTACTGCTTGCCTTGAAGTAACAAGTCCGTGATAGTGGCAAATGTCCTTGGAGGATGCCTCAAGTCTGAGATTACAGACTCGCCTTGGTACATTGTAGAAGACTCCAACTGAGGATGTGGCCAGCTCTTCAGGCCCTCTGTGTTTCCTTCACACTACAGGATATGCCTCTTGCTAAAAGTTCTTTGTCAAAGCTGGTTGTCTAGTATGTGGTAGGATGAGTGAGTTACTTGCATGTTTATTGACCTCAGAGGCCAAGTAAAGTAAGTGCCATTGCCTGAAATCTTTAGCAGCATTGTGCTATTGGGAGGAGGTCACAGTAAATTGAATTCTGCAGCACATGGCCTCCCAAGTGTCCAGAATTAATGTATATAGAATCAGAGAGTAGGTAAGTGTCTAGAGGTGGGCATAGGGATTAAGTGGCTTACAGCAGAGCTGTAGATTAAAATCAAAGTTCATGTCTTAGAAGCTCAGTCCCCCACATACCAGCATTTGGGTTGGAGATAGCCTTCCCAGAATCCCCTGCCAATGACCACACACAGTGAGGCACAGTGTCTTGGCCATCTCTGATCAAGGCTTGTATATGAGAGGTTTATCAACAGGAAGCTATAATTTGATGTACTAAAGTAGTCATGCCTACATCATGGTCTGTAGTTTTTTTTTTAAACCTTAAAATATATATTTAAGATTTTGGTGTAGCTCAGTGGTAGAGCATTGCCTAGGCATGTTCAAAACTCAATACTAGAGAGACAGACAGAAAGAGAGAGGGTGTCTCACCTAGGGTGAGAGCAGTGAGGAGGGGGGGGATGATGATGTTTAAGAAAGATGAAAAGCAGTATCATGCCCTTCTGGATACATGGTCACAGCAGTTACAACTTGACACAGATGTTGCTTAGCACTTTTGTTCACGAAGCCCAGAAGCTGATGTATCAGCCTGATTGTTTTCACATCCATCTCTTCAAAGGCCAAGGCTTAATGCATGAAGAGCTGTCAGCATAGATGGCGTGAGCAGACCTTTATCTTTGAGGTCCTGCTATCTTGTGATTCAATACTTTCCAGCCTAAGATTTTGTACCTGCTTATTCACAACTCGGAAAGAAAACCAAACCCTGTTCAAGTGGGTCAGATGAGGACCCTCGTATCTCTTTCCCTCAGAGAATGTTGCTCCATCTCCATCCACCAGGCTGGGCTCCCTAGTGGTAAAAAAAGGAGAGATGCTACAGCGGGCTTTTCCCTTTGCAGCCTGCCCTGAATTCAGTTTCAGAATTCCAGAGTCAGCTGGGATCCTGACTTGGTTGAGCTCCTGGAGTCACTCTGTAGATGGTCCTCTCTCTAAAGAGGGAAGACAGGTGAACAAACCAGAGATGTTGTAGAGACAGCCACCCTCTGCACCTTGGTCTCCTTAAAAGCACAGTTTTGATCTTTGACATGTCACAGTCTGATTGGTTTCCTGGGCTCACATCATGGGAATCTGACCATTGGGTCTGAAGGCCAGCTGCTCAGTGATGATTCCTGGGCTCCTTTGTAGCAAGGCCACAGCCTGTTATGCCTAGAACAGGGCTGAGTCCTGGAAGGCCTGAAAGTTCTCTAGGAGACATTGGCCTCTTTATGCCAAGGGACTCCTCAAAGCAAGGATAAACACGTCTTGATCTTCTAGGTGTTTGGTTTTCCTAATGAAGACCTTGGGGATTTTGTAACCATGAGCAGAGAGCACTAGCTGATATGCGTATGAACTCAAGGACCATCTAAACTGGCCCTTTAGGGTGATTGTTCCCTTTCTGTCTGAGCCAGGGTCTGGTGAAAACATGTCTCCTTAAGCTTTGGACTATCTAGTGGTGGCAGTGAGGGACTCTTGACTCTGCCCAGAAGCTCATGTCACATTCTTAGTCATGTCTGAATATCCATCCCTGGCATATTTCCATAAACCAGTCTCTCTCACTTTATAGTCTCAGTAATGGACAGGATTGGGAAGTGCAGAGTGTGTACTGAGGGCGTTTTAGAAGCCCCATAGGATTATGTATTTGGGACTGAAATGAACTTGGAGCTGAACAGCCTAGACCTGGCTCCTCCTTCGCTAAGCTATAGCACCACTCTGCAAGTCTTTCAGACACAAAACAGGGCTTTAGAGTCTCGGGAAAAAATAGGATATCCTCTATTAAAGGTTCCACTTTCCACATGGGCCAGTTCCTTTCATCGATGACCAGAATCCTCACTCTAAGGTAGGCAGAGAGTTGCCATAGCAGCAGAGGCAAGATGTCAACCAGAGTGGCCAACCAACTATTGAGTCCTTTTCCCATAGCCCTGCTAAGATGACATGCTAGCCACACCCTGGTCCACTCAGTTTCCTTCTGGCAAATTCAGTGCTGTGGTATTTTTGGCAACTTAGAATTTGCTTCAATACATTGGTCATTTGACAGAGACATTGCAGTGGAAAAAAAATCACTTATTTGTGTTGTGCCTTGGTTTCTTTCTGCTTACTAGTTTTTGACATGATTGTTGCATAAATCAAACCAAGGAAAACCCATAGGACAATTTCTATGTCTTGATCATAAAGGAACTTATAGCTTGTAATACTTGTTTTCAATAATAGTCAATCACATTACCAATTTGGAATTTAAATTGGCAGAAAATGTTTAGATTATTAAGAGTTGGAGAAAGACTTGAGCTGTTTCTAATTTGCTTGAGACTCAAACGATTTGTGCCCAAGTTTCCACACGAGTGAAGTGAAGCGGGGTTAGAACAGCTGCCTATGGGTCTGTGGGGGGAATTAAGGTGGTGTCAAGTGCTGGCCAATTAAGTGGCTGGTATTTCCATTTCCCTATTACAATGTCTGAGGGTGATGGATGATGATAATTTATTTTCACACAATCTGAGGTTCCTTATTTCCAGCAGTATAGTAATGATTTATGGCTTAATGCAATCAATTAGAAAAGAGCTATGTAATTTCTGGAAATTTTGTGTTTCTAAGTGTGGAAAGGCTAATGTATGGGGCGTTAAGCACTCAGCCTTGACTTCCAAGTACTTATTTGGACTACAGTTTGCTTTCCCTTTTCAATGTTAAAAAAAAAAAGCTAAAAGCTAAAACCCTAAAAAAGCTTGCATATGGAAAAAAAAGTTTTATAGCAATCTCCCATTTAGTCACTATTTTCTAATATTTGCTTTCTTACAGATCTAATAACCTTTAATGAATTTCAATCACACTGTTTCTTTTCCCACTAAGTATTTAATGTTCATTTTAGAGTTATAAGAGTTGCTTGTGTGTGTGGCGGTCAGGGACCGATGTCATCCCCAGTCACTGTTCACCTTATGTTTTAAGATAGGGTCTCCTAAGAGATCATTTCATTAGCTAGACTAACAGGCTGGCTGCTCCAGGAATCCTCCAGCCCTTGCCTTTCCAGTGCTGGATTACAGGCATGTGTCCTCCAATGTTTGGCTTTTAAGAAAGGGGTGTGTGTGTGTGTGTGTGTGTTCACGTCTACCTCATTTTTTCAGGTTTTTGTAACCAAGAAAAGGGAGCCAGATCTCCCAGAGCTGGAGTTACAAGCAGTTGTGAGTGGCCTGATGTGGGTGCTGACGATTGAACTCAGGTCCTCTGGAATAGCAGAGAGTACCCTTAAGCATAGAGCCATCTCTTTAGCCCTCTTTGTGGTTTTGCACATGGGTGCTGCAGGCTTGAAAAGTTCTCACACTTGTGTGGTAAACGCTGTTCTAAGAGAACCATTGCTCCAGCACTGGCTTATAGCTTTTATTTTCCCCTTAAAGTTAAGAGGAGCTACATATCAAACTGAAGCAGGTCTTAATTGTACCTTTGATGGGTTTGGTTGACATAAGGTCTAGTCATCAAAACCCCTATCACCATGTAGACAGTTAACCACTATCCCAGGAATTATCATAGGCACCCTTTCCAACTAATGCTTTTCTGTATTCCCTTAGAGACAGTGAATGTTGAGACCCTCTATTACATTTTGAAGTTTTGTATACTAAAATATTTCATTTACATTAAATTCTTGATTTAAAAAATGGAAAACCCTATGAAAATAGTTAAAGGGAATAGCCGAGGAGATGTGGGAGGATATAAGAGACAAAGCCCCAACTAGACAGCTCTTGCCCCCAAATGAAACCACCAGTGCTGGGAATGGGTTCCATCTAATTGAGCTGTTGGCCAAAGTGGCCTATGGCAACCCCAGAACAACCCAGGCTATTGCCAAGGCTATCGGATGCCATCTGCAAATTAACAGTAGGCCCCATTGCTGAAAACATGTACATAACTCACTGAACACAGAGAAGTCGAGCTGGTACCTAGAGCCTTCATCTCTATTGTTCATGGTACTAGGAGGTACTCTGTTCACTATCAGAGGAGGAAGTGAAACACCGACCCAGTACAAACTCTTCAATCTACAATGGTGACCGCCCTGCAGGATATGCTGGTACAATAGTGACCCAAAATTTGTGGGTGTAGCCAACCACCATCTGATTGGAATTAGGACATACTCTGATATGGAACCCATGATTGGCACTGCCTGGGTAGCTAAGAATTTGAGACTAGCTAGGCCATGAACCCAAGGGAAAACCAAC